TCACTGGAGATCCCTAACAGTATTGCCTCAGTGTTTCCAGGCTTAGAACTTTTAGTTTCGTTTTTTCTGGGCAATGCTTTAAGCCTTCCTCATTTTTCAGACCTCAGTTACTGGGAATAACAAGCAGTAGGACTGTCCTTATCACCGAGGTTTGAACTCAAGACTGTGCTTACCAACCAAATTTGCCTACTTGTAACCTTCAGAATAGTTCTGATTTTCTTTTAGGGGTGGGAGACTTGGGCTATATCCGGTGCTGCTCAGGACTTTTCTCCTGTCTCTGCTCAGGTGTAACTCCTGACAGTGCTTGAGGGACTGTATGTGTTGCTGAATATCAAACTAGGTTTGGCCACATGCAAGGCAAGCACCTTAACCTCTATACTATCTCTCAGGCGCAATTCTCATATTTTATATGCTATTATCTAGTGCATAATTTTTTTTCTTCTTTTGCCCTCAAACCTCCCCATGTAGATTACTCTTCTTGATTTATCTCCCTAGAGCTCTTTTAGTGCTGATTACTGCACATTGTCAAGCGACCTAGCAACACAAAACTGTTGTGTATTAACTGAATGTATGATGACTCTGTCATACAGTGAGTGTGGTTGTAGGTGGAAGGAAATAAGGGAGAAGGAGAATTAGGTGAAAAACTAATGAAGGTTTAAAAGCAAAGACTTAGGGGCTGGAGTGATAGCACAGCATGTAGGGCGTTTTCCTTGCATGTGGCCAACCTGGGTTCGATTCCCAGTATCCCATATGGTATCCCGATTTCCCAAGCACCGCTAGCAGTAATTACTGAGTGCATGAGTCAGGAGTAACCCCTGTGCATCACTGGGTGTGACCCAAGAAGCAAAAAAAAAAAAAGCAAACCAAAAACCAAATGTTAATGTTCTTTAGAAATGCCATAAACACTCTGGAACTGCTTGTGAACATTCTGGAACAAAAGTCATTGGGCCATTAAGGGACCAAAATTCAAAAAGTCTTAAGAATAGGGCTGGCCAAAATAGCACATGGGTCTTAGAGCTTCTGCCTTACAAGCAGGAATATGGTTACAAGTTCAGATCCCTGGTGTCTCACATTTGCTGAGCATGATCCTCTGCTGCTTGAACCTGGCTGCTGTTATGTCTGTGATTCCTGGTGCTGCAAGCAATTTTTATCCACACCATAGCCTGTGTTAGCACTACCAAACAAAAAAGAGCGGGGGAGGCGTACCCCAGGTGAGTATCACAACAGAAACAAAGAATGAGTACCAAGACTAGGAAGTGTGACCTGTTGACTACCAGAGCAACCCATGGAGAGCACGATACATAACTGTGTGCCTCAATTAAGAGTGCTTTCTCCAGCAGCTGTGTGTGCAAGCCCTGCAGCTAAAGGAATGCAAAACCTCTTGGACACCATAGTAAAAAATGGTGAGGACCGTAGCCTGATGTCTATGCAATACCCAACCCCCATCTTGGAAACAGCAGTGTAGCACTGTAGCACTGTCCTCCCGTTGTTCATCCATTTGCTCGAGCGGGCCCAGCAACATCTCCATTGTGACACTTGTTACCGTATTTGGCTTATCGAATATGTCACGGGTAGCTTGCCAGTGTGGGTGAGATACTCTCGGTAGCTTGCCAGGCTCTTCGAGAGGAGCAGAAGAATCGAACCCGGCTTGGCTGGGCTGGCCACGTGCAAGGCAAATGCCCTACCACTGTGCTATTGCTCCAGCCCGGAAATAGCAATATCAATATTAATAACAACATTCATATAAAAGGGATGTGTGGGGTGTGAATTTAAAAAAAAATTTAAGGATGCAGGAACCCTGAGAGTACAGAGAGCAAGGTGCTTGCCTAGCACGTGACTGACCTGGTTTTTATCCCCAGCACTGCATATGGTGCCCCGGAACCACCAGGAACGCTCTCTGAGCACCTAGTCAGGATTAAGCCTGAAACACTGCCGGTTATGACCCCAAATCCAAATAATTAAAACAAAAAAAGTCTTAAGAATTCTTGTTACTAGGAGATCATTCTTGTAGAAGAGTCTTTGACTTTTGGGTGTTTGATTTTATATAGCCTGCACTTTTAAGCATGCTGAGAGGTAATTAGTGTAGTGGTGAGTCCAGACCTTAAAACTAGAATGCTTGGCTTGCTGTCTGGATGACATTGGTCAGATCTCTTTTCTCTGCCTCAGTTCTCATTATAGGGATAATAGTGCCGTACATCGCAAGGGATTGTTATGGGGTCTAACAAATATACACAAAGTGATTGGTATATTGTGCAAAACTTTAGCGTTGGCCATGATGCAGGTGATGCATTGAAGTTGCTAAAATTAACTTATTTTGCAAATTTGAATATGATGTGAAACTGAAGGGAAACTTCATTTGGCAGCGGTACCTTCTCTTTGTACATCAGTTCATACACAGTTACATAACTATTTTGTTGCACTTTGAAAAATCAGTAAAAAATGTAGGTGAGCATAAGAGACTGACAATGACTTTCATAAATATTAATATATTTTTATTTGGGGGCCACACCTGGCGAAGCTCAAGGGTTACTCCTGGCTTTGCACTCAGGAATTACTCGTGGCAGTGCTCGGGACCGTATGGGGTACCAGGTATGTCATGTGCAAGGCAAGTATCCTTGCTACTCTTCAGCCCTAAATCTAATATGTTTGAGACAAAGAGACCTTTCTACCCAAAGTGGTAGACTTTTTGCTTCAGTTTTATATTTTGTGGATCCAAGCAAATATTAACTATATCCAAATAAGAACACAAATTATAAAGCATGTCTAAAATCCTAGTACTATATCATTTAAGTTATGTCCAGGGCTAGAGAGATAAACAGCAAACAAGAGCATGCTTTGCATTCATGAGGCCCAAGTTCAATCCCTGGCACTTCCCAGGATCACTGATCACATGATCACCACCTGATCACTGCTGGGAGTGGTCCTGAGCACAGAGACAGGAATCTTCTGAGGTACTGCTTGGTGTGCGCCTCTCTGAAAAATTGTGTCCAAGAGACCAGGGATATGACTCAACAGCAGAGCACGACTAGCTTTGCTTGCGGGCCCCACTCTGCAACTGGGGCGGAGTGAAGTGTACAGATGTGACATGCAGTTAGGGATCTATATAGCACTGTAGCACTGTCCTCCCTTTGTTCACGGATTTACTCAAGTGGGCCAGTAACATCTCCATCGTGAGACTTGTTACTGTTTTTGGCATATTAAATACGTCACGGTTAGCTTGCCAGGCTTTGCCGTGTAGACGGGATACTCCCGGTAGCTTGCTGGGGTCTCCGAGAGGGGCGAAGGAATCGAACCTGGGTCCGCTGGTGGCAAGGCAAACGCCTTACCTGCTGTGCTATCGCTCCAGCCCTGGGATCTGTCTATATATATACATATTAATATGATGATATGTAATATCATACTATATATAGGAGGGTGGATGGGTACCACCAAAATAATGTAATTTCTTTTTTTTTTCCCTTTTTCATATTAGGTTTCATGCAGAATATTTTAGAATACATTATAAACAAAAACCCCTAATATACTTAATGCATATTAATACTAGTCTTTTTCCCAACCTTCTTTTGTGCTGCTTTTTTCTCCTTTTCTTCCTCCCTTCTTCCTTCCCTCCCCCCAACCTTTCATACCCGGCAGTGCTCAGGGGTTACTCCTGGTTATGTTACTCAGGAATCACTACTGGTCGGCTTGGGGTGCTATATAGGTAGGATGCTGGGATCAAACCCAGGTTGGTCACCTGCTGTACTATCTCTTTAGCCCTTTTCTCCTTTTCTGAAAGACACGTCTGAACAAATGGAGATACATTCATTTTTATTTGGGTTCACTCCCACTGGCACTCAGGGGACTGTGCAGGATTGGGGATTGAACCTGGCCTCTTTGCAAGAGCTTAGCCCACTAAGTTTTCTTTCCAATACTATTTTTTTTCTTTTTGGTCAGTGGCGGGATTTGCACCAACCTTGCTTGCTCCTGGCTTACTTCTGGCTCTGTGCTTAGGGATCACTCCTCTTGGTACTCAGGGGGACTGTAAGTGGTGCTGGAGATAAAATCCACGTTGGCCACATTCAAGACAAGTGTCTTACCTACTGTACTATATCTCTAGTCCACAGACTATTTTATTTTTAGTTTTTAGGCATTAAAAAATTTTTTTATAGGGGGGAGTACACATAGCAGTTGTTGGGGGACCCTGTGGTGCTGGGGGTCAAACTTCGGGCCTTTCACATTCTCTTCATGTGCTCTAGCACTTGAGTTAGCTATCTCCCGGGCCTGATATACTTTAATTTTTTTCCCCAGTAGATAGGAGCAAACACTTTTAAGGATTTAAAAATAGGGATCGTAAAAACTGTTCCCGAATCCTCCTACTTTTAATTTTCTGTTTTCTGATTTAATAAAGTAGTTCTGTACTCTAATAATTTCTCTAATTATTTTCATCTTTTTTTTTTAAATTTTATTGAATCACCGTGAGATAGTTACAAGCTTTCATGTTTGGGTTACAGTCACACAATGATCAAACACCCATCCCTCCACCAGTGCACATTCCCCACCACCAATATCCCCAGTGTACCCACCCTTTCCCACCCTCCCCCTGCGTCCATGGCAGACATGATTCCCCATACTCTCTCCTTACTTTTGGGCATTATGGCTTGCAGTACAGACACCGAGAGGTCATCATGTTTGGTCCCTTATCTACTTTCTGCACACATCTCCCATCCCGACCGATTCCTCAAACCACCATTTTCTTAGTGATCCCTTCTCTATTCCAGCTGCCTTCTCCCCTTTGCTCATGAGGCAGGCTTCCAGCTATGGAGCAGTCTGTCTGTCCCGTGTATCTACTGTCCTTAGGTGTCAGCCTCATGTTACGTTGTTTTATACTCCAAATGAGTGCAGTCCTTTTAAGTCTGTCCCTCTCTTTCTGACTCATTTCACTTAGCCTGATATTCTCCATGTCTGTCTATTTATAAGCAATTTCTCTCTCTTTTAATGGTAAACTTTTTTGTTGATTTCAGGAGTTCAGCCAGATGAAGCTTCACAACTTCTGGATCAAGAAATTTTATTAAAAATTAAAATTGAAATTGAAAAGGAATTAAAATCCCTGGATAAAGAAATTTCTGAAGGTCTGTTTATTTTTATTTTCCTAATAAGTAGATTCTGTGTGGTGTGGTTTGCTGTTGGGTTAATTTGATTTTTACAGTAGATTGCTCTAAACATTACACAACTTGTATTAATATAGTAGCATACACGGGTGACCTGGACAATATTCATTTTCTTCCCTGAGGGACATATTTGTGAGTTTCCCAACTAGGGGCAGGAGCGGTAACTCAAAGGGCAGAGCATCTGCTTTGTAAGCTGGAGCCCTGGGTTGATTCCTGAAATTACAGAAAGTACTTTTCATTTGATTTATATGAATTTCATTGCTTTTAGGGTTCTTGCAGGTTTCTTCCAATGTGGAGGCTTTCCTGCAACAACAAGCGATTCTTTTTTTTTTTTTTAATTTTTATTAATGAAACCCCATGAGGTACAGTTGTAGACTTACAAATTTTTGTGCTTGGGTTTCAGTTATACAATGATCGAGTACCCATCCCTCCACCAGTGCCCATTCTCCACCACCACTGATCCCAGTATCCCTCCCACCCCCCATTCCCCCGTCCCACCCTACTTCTGTGGCAGGGCATTCCCTTTTGTTCTCTCTCTCCTTTTGGGTGCTGTAGTTTGCAAAAGAGGCATTGAGTGGCAGTCATGTTCGGTCTATAGTCTACTTTCAGCATGCATCTCCCATCCTGGGAGGATCCTCCCAGCACCCTTTATTTGGTGCTCCCTTCTCTATCTGAGCTCCTATTTTGTTACTTTAACAACAAGCGATTCTTAAAAAACAGCAAGTGTTTCAGAATTAAATCAGTTCTTACGTTACTTTCCATCGGATTTCAAAGGTTAGAGGTTCAGTCTCTCAAGATTACCTTAATTTTGGGCATCAATTGCAAGCTTATGCATTACCTCTGCATCTAAACAATTTGCTATAATTCAAAGTTTGGATCAATGTAGTAGAGTAGTATCACTGATTTACCCTGACTGTGACTATCCTAGTATCACTGACTTCACCCCTGACTTACCCTGACTGTGTCTATCCTTGCATCACTGATTTGTTTCAAAGACTGTAACTTGGAAATAGCCAAATTGAAGAGACGCATAGTCATGCTATCCTGAAAGGTATCCTCACCAGGCATGGCATCCTACCCAAATTTCCACATTTTTACCAACCCAGAAACTCTCTGAAGCACCCTCCTCTTACTATTTTCTTGTGGGTGGGGTGCTGAGGCCACATCTGGCAGTGCTCATGGGGGGTTTTCCTTGCTCTGTGTTCAGGAGTGACCTCTGACTGTGCTGGGGGACCAGATGTACCCAGGATTTGAACAGTTTTGCTTCCTGCAGGCAGTACTGCTGGTACTGCCTCTCTGGTCCTGTTTGTGGTTTTTCTTCTTTTTTTTTTTTTTTTGTTGTTGTGGTACGGTTACTTCACATATGCAAGGCAAATGCTGAGTAAGCTACATCCCTAGTCACCTCTTTTTCTTTCTTTTAGTTCTTTTATATTTGCATTGTAAATAAGAATGTTTGATTAAGTATTGGCTATTTGCAATTAAACTCAACCTTTAATCCTTCTCCCCTCCAAGGAAGTTATAGATCTAGACCAGAAGTTCCACCTTCTGTTATTGGATTCCCTTGGTAAATCCTCCTCTTCCAACCATGTGCTTGTAATATTACACGTTATAAACTTTTTTTTTGTGGGGGCCACACCCCAAGGTTCTCAGTGCTTACTCCTTTCTGGGTGCCCAGATACCACTCCTGGGAGGTTTGGGGACCATATGGGGTGCCATGGGTCAAGCCTCGGGTTACTGTGTTCAAGGCAAGTCCCCTTTCCACCATACTCTTGCTATGACCCTACACGTTATAAACTTTACAAATATTTGACATTCTACTAGCTAGAAAATCCCACTCACTGAATGAATATATATTTAATCATTCCCCCTTTTTTGTTTGCAAAAATCAAAAGCATGAAATTTCAGCTAGCCCTGAACCCTGAGCAGTACTTGCTATAAAATGTCTAATCGTTGCTTGATATCTCGGTTAATAGCAGCCTGCACTGTTCAGAAGTGGTGAGAGTCATTTTGCCATGTTTTGATAAAATCATGCATCTGGATTGAGGTTTGAAGAGCTGTTCCTGCAATATCAGTGGTAGTGGTCACAGCAGTGAGTTTCAGGAGAACTACAATCAGTAATCCAACGAATCGTCAGAAATGACAGAGCAGTCTTGTGCTCTGATGCTGACTCCTTCTCTGACTTCCTTGTGACTTCTAGCTGAAATTGGTTTGGCAGGGCTGGAATTTGGAGGATTTAGGCATCTCTGGTGGTCTGAGGGCCAAATCTGGTGGATGAAATTTGGAGGGATACGGAGTCTCTGACAGCCTGGGGGCTGAACTCGTGGATGAAGTTGACTCCAGATGAGGCATAGTGGGACCTAGACTTTCTTGCGGGTCTGTTATCTATTAAAGTATAATCATAGACCTTTCCTCCTGCAAGGAGTTTCCCTGCTACACTCAAGCGGGGGCATACCTCCTTTTTGTTTTTTAACATGGAGGGGTGGTGGACGTAAGCCGCAGTGGCCCCATTAAAACAGGGTGGCCTGTTAGAGTCTACAGGGATGGAGGAGTGGGAACTTTAAGCTCCGCTTGCCACTGTTCATGTAAATCTCATCCCCATGACTTCAGGGCTGCGGGTGCTACATAGGGCTGGAAAGTGACTGTGACTCCCTCTGGGCCAAGACATTTGAGCCATCTGGCACTCTGCCAGATGGAGGAAGAGGGCATCATGGCCTACTCCGTCCAGATTGTAGGATATTGCCTTTGTGGCTCAGTTATCGGGTCAGTATTGGGCAGAGAGGATAGAAACATTGGCTTCCGAGTCAGTCATTCCCTTAAATTTTTTCTCTGGATCTCGTGGTTGCCTTCTGTAAGGGGCGGGGTGGGGGGGGGCGATACAGGCGATAATCAAAGGGTCGGTGCTGCCCAAACCTCCTGTCCAAGGGTCAGTGGATTGATGGGCATAACAAAAGGAAGTAAGAGAAGCTAAGCAGTGAGCTCTCCCTTATCAAATGTCCGAACAGTTGGCACCATAAGAATAATCACTGTTTTCCCAACATAATGAGAATCAGTGCCCCCAGTATGAACAGTGATTCCTTTAACAGTCAGACTACTTCTCCTAAGAGTAGCCTTACAGTGCTGGTGGGATTGATCCCCTTACACCAGAATTTAATTTCTAGGGACACTGTATCAGGGTAGGGAATATCTAAGGCAGCTCCCTGCTGTGGCTGACTTCAGCGAATCTACTGATTGAAACTTTGAAACACCATGTTTGGAAGAGGGACTGCAATCCGAAATGTCCTCAGGCTGGCCCCCTTGCTGGTTTCCCGAGATTAGGTTACCCGTAGCATCAAATCTGGCATGGCAGTCCCCAGTGGTTACAGTCTTACACTGGGGACAGGAACCAGGTGGTGCTTTCAGAGAAACAGGGCCTGGGGTTCCCTGCAGTCCTTCTGATTTCCTGCAATTGAAACATTCAGTCCAACAATTGAAATGTTGTTTATCCTGAGCGTGTAACTATGCTGCATAGACCTCAGTAGCGTTCATCTGCACCCGATGTTTAACAGAACCAACAATACAACACACCTTCATGTACCCCATTACATCCTTCTAATGGGGTATACAACAGCCTAATGATCCTTGTTAGCATTTTTTATTTTGCTTTTTGGGTCACACCCAGCAATGCTCAGGTGTTACTCCTGGCTCTGCACCCAGGAATTACTCCTGGCGGTGCATGGGGGACCATATGGGATGCCAGGGATCGAACCTGGGTCGGCTTGTGCAAGGCAAACTCCCTACCTGCTGCACTATCATTCCAACCCTGGTTAGTATTTTCAAAAGCCAATTATTTCAACAGGTTCTTCTGAGTTTCCTTACCCTTAATCTGTTGTTTAATAAAGCCTCTGACAACCTCCCTATAAAGTCTATATATGTTCTGAGGCCCCCTGAACAATTTTTGTATAGCTTCCCATAAATTCGGCATCTGTATTTGTCATCTCCCAAACCCACAGGGCTGTCTTGCAGACATGAGCAAAACCAGTATGAGGGAAGGTGACTTTCCTTTTTGGGTTGTGCCATTTCCCTTCGCCTATTAACATCTCATAAGTCAATTTGATCCCTGAACATTTTTGTACAGAATGAATGAAGAATGCATAAAGTTTTGCCTTGGCCTCATCACTGAACCACACCCTCCGTTGCATGCACTGAGAAGGGCTTAAGCACATTTTAGTGACCAGGTGAAAATCTTGGGGTACCAAATAGGCACTTTTACTCTAGTAGGTAAGATATTCCTTACAGTACAGAGATGTAGGTCTGTATGAGGCACAAGGACTTTTGTAAAATGACTGAGTGAATCCATTCTTAATCCTCATAAGATGGAGGCTGATTGTCCTCCAGCTGGATCCGGAAAAAGAGATGAAACTCGTGTGGTCTAGGTGGAATCAAACACTTGAGGTCAAGAGGTCTCAGCTCTAAGCTTTGATGGAGGAAAAGTCTATGATTATATGTGAGTGGCCTGGAGGCTGCTTGGCTGGAGGGCGGCAGTCTCTGGGGAGCCCTCTCTGCCTATCACTCTCAACTCAGAATCTGAGAAAGCGGAAGCCGACTCCTCATCCACATCACTTTCATCGGATGCACTGGGAGTGGAGCCATACAGGGGAGATGGGATTCTCTCTGGCTTGACATCAGTGGGGAACATTAATTCACCAGCATCAGAAAGATTTTTACTTTGAGAACGCGTTTCCAACATGTTGAGCTTCTTTTCGGGGTTTGGTATGGGAGGAGCCGAGGGTGTCTTATCCCTAATATTCTCCTTCTCAAGTGTACCTTCCCCTAACTGGAGAACAGAATGAATAGGCTCCCATGTAACCCAGAATTCCCTGGGGATCTGAGTAACCTCCTTAGATGGCATGTAGACATTTTCCTTAACTTATTCCCAAATCTTGGTCTCTAGAGTTCTTTCTTCTGGGAACCATGGGTTTATT